TGTTTCTAGAAGTCTTTCTAAAAACACGTCCTGAAAATAAGAAAAGAACTACCCCAAGTGAGGCATCTCTGGTTATGTTATTGGCTATGGCATTTGATGTCAAAAAAGATGATGAAAAATTGATCTCGACGATAAAGTATTTGTGGTTGACTTTTCCAATTTCGACACCGATTATGGTGCTCCCGTTACGAAATTTCGTACATGCGAATCATACAAGAGTACGTGGTACGTTTCCCCTTAGATTTTTCGGGATGTTTTTCTCGAAATTTCTACCTTAAAATGATGGAGAAAATTTGGTACCTACAAGACCTGTAAAGGCATTTTTCTTAGGTTTTTAAAAATTTCTACCCTAATATGGTACTTATCGTACACGCGAAAAATTTGATAGTTTGTTATTGACGAAGTTTGGTATCTGAAGAAAATTATTGTCCCTCGTATAGGAAGTTTCGAGGAAATAGCTGGGAAATATGTAGAAAATGGACGAAATTAAAGAAAATTCTGGGGAAATGTTGTAGAAATAGGAGGACATTTCAAATTAATGAGGAAATTGCAGGGAAATAATTGGAAAATTTGAAATTCTGAGTTAATCCAGGGGAAATTTTGAAGAAGTAACGTTAATTCCGAGAAATTTTGTGTATATTTATGTAAAGTTAAGGTAATGTTGGGATAAATACGGGAAATGGTGGCAAATTTTGGGCAATGAAGGAAAAAGTCGTGGCACACCCCTCGGTGTGATACATCTTCGGTTAGGGTAAGCTCTTCTTCGCGCATACCGTGTACCAAAAGAGGCTGCGGTTTCTTCACTAAGAGATTATAAGGAGTGATAAGTGGCTGGATAGGATTTTATGAACGACCTTGTCGATTAAAAAAAAACAGTTAAAAATTCTTACCCTGAAACTGCACCCCTCTCCCGCACACAGTGGACACATTAATATTTGACACTAATGTTTTAGTGAACCAAAGTAGACACTGAACTTATTGGGTTATTCGCGTAATTGAGCGAGGTGAGGCGGCGCAGTCGCCGATATCGAGCTTATGTCCCATCCAAGAAAAATGTCACATTTAAAAACCTTTTGTGTGAATTTAAAATATAGATGATTGCACATATCTAGAAATTATTTTTGAATGTACAGGGTGTCCCAGTTTTACGGTTTAAATAAATAACTTTTTAAACTAGAACACCCTGTATCTTTTTAGTTGTTTTGATGTTGTTTGTTAACCTTTACATTGAAAGCTATTAACATCTTGATTTTTTGTCTTATTAATTTTTATCCGAATAAAATTCCCCATAAGCAGGCTTCACTTTTTTTGAATCGTTTGAAGTTAGTGATACAGGGTGTTCACAAGAACGTTGAATCTTTGTTTCCTTGGGGGTATTCGGTGTTACATTCTCCCACAAAGCGTTCATCCCTGGTCTCTTTCTAACAAATTGTGCTTAAGTATTTTGGGGGTGAACGTAAAACCAGCGAATCTGGGGATATGGAATACCCTCAGCCATACCACCTCAGTAGGCGAAAATCGTGATAGTAAGAAAGCGAATGTTAAGTCTTGTTTCCTGGGCGGTTTTCCAGACCCCCCAGTATTAAATTCCCCCACAAAACGTTCACCCCTAAGGAATCACATTCGATGGCCCCTTTCTAAAAATTATACTGTACGTGCTAGAAGCACTAAGGATTTTGAGGGTGAACGTAGAACCGGAGGGTCTGTGGAGGTATGGAATACTCCCAGCCATACCACCCTAGTACACGAAATTCCACGCATTCTTCCCCAAAACCGAAAATGCACATACCACTCATTTTTTGGAAAGCAGGTCATATGAAGTATCTTCAGAAGCTCGTGGAGTATGGAATAAATGCCAAGAAGCCAGTCTTTTATGAAAAAATACCACAACAGTCCTTAGGGTGAAACGTTTTGAGAGAGAACGTAGCTCTGGAGGTTATGTAATACCCCCCCACCGTTACAAAGATATTATGATGCATGGAAGAATTAAATTGTTCTTGTTTCTTGCGAGACTCAGTTCCTCAATTCTTCCCCAAAACGTAACGTGACATACCACATAAACTATCAGTTTAGGAAACCAAGAGAAGTCTCGCCAGGAAACTGATGGATTATTATGGAATACCTGCTAGAAATGCAAGATCTTGTAGTCTTTTGTGAAAAAATACTGAATGTTTTGAGGGTGAACGTGACACCGGGGGGTCTGGAAGCCATACCACCCCAGTACACAAAATTCCCACATTATTCTCCAAAACCGAAAATGCTGTCTGGGGGGGGGGGTATGAAATACTCCCCAGCGCGACAAAGATATGAGGTATGGAAGAGAAGATTGAATTGTTGTTGTTTCCTAGGGGACCCCCCAAGACTCCTCGGTTCATAGCCATAGGAAGCACCGCCAGAAGCTCGTTTTTGTAGTCTTGTGAAAAAATACCACAATATTCCTTAGGGCTGAATGTTGTGACTGAGAATGAAGCACCGGGAGGTTTTGGGGGTATGGAATACTCCTCAGCGTTACAAAGATATTATGATGTATGGAAGAGAAGGCCTCATATGTGCAAGCCATGAAGGCTTAATATTTCGAAAGACCAAGGAACCTTCTAAAAGCGCTTAAAGACTGTTACAGTGAAAAACTTTGATCCGCTCTTTAAGGCTTTTTTAGCGCTCTCCGCAACTCGGAAGATTTCAAAACGCCCCTCTTGATGACTTTTGAAATTTTTCAAATATTACAAGCTACACATAGGAGCTCTTTTAAACTTGGGAAGGTTCAGTAGAAAACAGTAGCACACTCTTACTTTAGGACACCCCAGAAAGCTTTGTACACTTTTGAAGGTAAATAAAGGCGCACGTCTTAATGGCCTTTGGACAATTCTTACATTGTCTAGGCCTCTCCTAAAGTGTACACGATTATTAATAGTGATATTATTAACTGTGAGTGTGTAAATTTTGAAAAAAACAAGGATTTTTAAAGAAGAAGTAAGAAAACGTTATATGTAAGTACAGAACATTTTCTTGAACGTTTTGCTTTTCTTTGTAAAATTTGAAATGCACAATTTGTCATTTTTTAAGAGTAACTTAGGTTTGTAATATAACATCTCTCTCCTCTCCCATGCCGCTCTCTTTTCACTCAGATTATTTAACTTATATGGAAGTACATGTTTCACCCTTAACTATACAATACGTCAATAATAATAATAAATTGCATATATCTCGTTGCAGTAACCTTTTTCTCGTTTTTGAAGGATCTTAGATCACAAACAAGGCCACTCCTTCGTTATGCTACTGGGAAAATACCAACCCACGGACCTTGCACCATTCACAAAGGTCACAAGCTTGGTCCAAAACCGTACCTTCTGCCAGTGATGGATTTTCCCAAAGGTTTAGGGTTTCTTTTGCGTGGATTTTGTGCGGAGCCCACTGGAGGGCTCCGGCCCTATTAGCTTCTGCCTGGCCGGAGTGACCCAAATTAAAAAGTGAATTAGGGGGTTCATGAGCACAATTTTTGATGTGCTGTACACTAATCGGTCGAAGAGAAAAATTATGCTGTCTTCAACTCCACTACTTTTCCGGTTTCCCTTAATTTATACTTCCGTGCCGCCTACAGCCTCTTCAGTTTTCAGTATAAGCTTTCTCTAGATTTCCCTTCGACCTTATTATTAAGATAACGTTCGAGTTGCCAATGTTACTCTTCAAGTATCAATTTGACAATATCGACGGCGGGCGGAGATAAACTCCAAAATTAGAAACAGAATGTCGCATTGTATGAAAAAAAAGAGCCAGATGTCGGTCTCGAGTGAAGAAAATTTAGATACACGTTAGCGTTACCAACACGACCGAGTTAATCAAGTGTTGACCGTTGAAGTTCTAAATTTTAGAAATGTCAAACGCGTGTATCGCCTTTTTCCCTCCATACGCTTCAATGACGTAACGGGAATAAAGCGAGCATAAACTCATCTCTAACCGTTCGTTTACTTTTATCATTTCCCTCTTCCTTTTCGTCGGGAGCCCTGGCCTGCTTAGTTTTAAAACTTAAATTTCGTAGGGAAGAATGTCTTAGTTACATAAAATCAATAAAGCTAGTCGGCACAGTACAAAAGCTTTTCGGGAACTACATCTTAAAATACTTGCTGCTGGAAGAATCCTTATTACCGGTGGCGCGTAA